AAGTACTTTACTTTTTGTCCTGGAGAAACCAGCCTCCTTCAGAGTCTCACTCATTAAGACAGCAGCCGTTGTAATCCAAGCTCCTTTGATGGAAGGGGTAAGTGAGGGGGATTGCCAAAGGGAGGATTAGCTGATGGATGTCTTGAGCTGCAAGGGTGTCTCATATGGATTTGTGCAGGATTTTCACCTCAGCTGTCCTGGCTGGAACTCCTGTCCTACTGTACCAAGACACTCTCCTTCCAGGCCCTGCTCTGTCTCTAGCAGCAGCGAGGGCCTGGCTGAGAGCTGGCTGCTAGCTCTCATTCTCAGCTCCCTGGTGATGGAAAGGTACAGAGCATGCCAAAGAAAACCCATCCCCAGCCTGTGAAAAACTTACCTGTTGTACTTATAGGGAAATGGCAGCTTTGTCCGGAGACAAGATTGATTCAGGTGGGATTCTCAACTTGGCTACTCAGTGATATGATGCTCCAGGCCATTGTTTTCCTTTCTACAGTAGGGATTACCATATGCTCCTCCGTGCACTGCACCCCTTGAGACATGTGAATGAAAGTGCTGTAAGGTGCTTTGTGCTTTTAGGCCTAACATTAAGACATTTAGAAGGCACAGTTTCAACACATATTCCTCGACTATGTGATAGGCACCAAGTTTCTTGCTATTCCCCAGTCAAAAGCAGTAGCACAATCCCTGGTTTTCTCCTGTGTATGACTCTGTCTCCTCCCTTCTCATCACCTCTGCCTTGATCTTTGATTCTGTCACTGTGCTTCTATGGATACATCAGGCTATTTGTGTGCACTTATTGTTATGGGAAAGGAAGGAAGGACAATCTGCAAAGGCAGGTTAGACCCACCTCCACATTCTCCAGTTATGTGAGAATTTTAATTTTGAAAGAACAACTTTCTAACCATCACAGTGCAGTTAAGCCTTAAAAGGTGTTAACTACAAACACAGTATTATTATTCCCTAAAATGTCATTATTTGAAAGCTATTCTCGCAACGGGGTGTTTGAGGATGAAAATACTCCAGCCTGTCGATTCTCCTGCTTTCTAATGCCAAACATCCCTCTCCTTTCCTGTCAGCACCCTTGCACCTCACACCAGCCCCGCATAAGGCCACAGCTTCCTTCTGGCTCCTGATCCCAGGTGCTAGATGCTGCTCTGTCCATTCTTTGTCTGACAAGCAGGGCACAAATCTGGAGAGGAGTGAGGCAGTCTGTGCTGCTGTGTGCTGCCAGCTGCCCTAGCACTTCTTCATCACACAGGATCACAAACCCATCCATGGGTGGGTGTCCACTCTTCTATCACAGGACCCAGTGGAGCAGCTTAGAAGACTGCTTGTACTGTTATTGTTAAGAGGTTCCCTTGGGCTGTTTTGAGCAGAAATGTGAGTTGCTTGTTTTCCAGCAGAGGATCAGTTACAAAACCAACACCAAGCAGAAAGGCTTTTTTGAGAGTGAGGGCTCTGTTTACCATGCTAATTTCAGGGAAAGTTATTTGGGAGGATGGAGGAAGTAGTTAAATCCTTGTTTACCATGCTGGAAACCCAAATCCCCTCAGTTTAAACAAATAAGAGAGAAAATGGCTCAGTGGTAGGAGCACATGGCTGTGGCTAAGGAGAGCTGGGTTTCTTCCCAGCTCTAATGCAAACTCTGTAAGGCCCCTCTTCCCTCAAGGTGAGATTCAACTCAGTTAGCATTAGGTATATGGCCCCAGCTGAAGACCAAATCACTAATCAGCAGAAAAAGGCAAGATATTCCTAACATCAGATTTGTCCAATAGCATTAGATGGACTGAGAAGTCTTGCAGAGGTACTAGCCTTGCTTCCCTGATTATTAGGTAGTTGTAACAGCCAGTTGACCTAAACAGCTGAAATAAGACGAGATGAACGTACACTGCTTTCTGGGGTTCCCATACATGCAATGAAGCTAACTAGTTCTTCCCCACCTGACAGTGGGGTGGAAAGGATCAATGTACTAATTATTACAACGTGCTCTGATGCTGAGATGCTGGAGGCCCTAAAAGCCTGACTGTAAGTAGATCTGTCTACTTGAGAAGGCAGCAATGAAAAGTAGTCCACCGGTTCCTAAATCCTTTCTGTTCAGTATGTGCACCTGTCCTGGTTGCTGCATGGCTGGTTTGGATCACCACAATGATGTGCTCAGCCATCTTTTGTGAGGTGGTATTTCTCTCCTTGCTGTAGAGAATGCAGTCTGTTGGGGGAGACAAGACAAAGCTGCCTTTGCTGAAAGAGCTCAGAAAAATAGATATTTAGTTACTGATCTCTGCTACGTCAGGGCAAAGACAGGGTTTGCTCTGCCCATTGAAGTCAGAATTACTGCATACTGAAAACTGAAGGCGCTATCAGACATCAGCTTGGGGATCTACAAGACTGAGGAGAACAGAACAACAGGGACTGAATCCTACCTGAGCAGTGAAATGACTTGGTGTAGGGTGAGAACGTACTCACTTGCTCAGGGTCCCTCGGCCTTGGCACCTAGACAGCTCGGGATGATACACAGCCTAATCACAGGCAGGGAGCAAGCAGATAGCAGAGTGGTTCTACAGACACTATCCAAACAGGAGACTCTTCAATGGCCTACATTTTGCCTTTGGTAAGTGGTCAGGGCTGCCTCTCTCACCAAATCAAGGCAGCCCGAATATGGTTCCTCTGGGAACTTTAATGTTTTACTGAATTACTTAGTTTCTCTTGATGACTGCTGCTTCAGAGTCTCAGTTGCTGGATCCCAGTGGGGATTTTGTTGATGGGGGTTTATTGACTTCTTGTTACCTTGAAGTTACTGCAGTGGCGGGAGTCACAGGTAACTCCTGGAGTCTGTTTATTTTATGGGTTGGATTTTTAAGAGTTTGCCAATGATACCCTGATTTTAGGAGAAGCCACTTGTTTATTTAGCAATGCACTCACGTACTGATCCACAAATAAAACTAGTGTGTTACTTGATAAGACCCAACAGAGGGTCAGCCCTGGCTCATTGGTAAATTGATCAATCCAGAGTGCAAAAAACACCCCTCAGGAAACTCATCATGTCTATCTGGGGAAGGTACAAGCCAAACATTGGTATAATTTTGTACTCCAATGAGTTTTCATGAGTACCTGTGCCTGTACCTTCTGAAAGGAAAATGATGAAAGGTCCACGATGGAGTAATTTCTGACAACCTTCACTTTGGTCCTCAGCAGAGGCTTTCAGAGTTGTAAGATTTTTACAGCTGGGGCTGCAGATCCAAGTTCTGCATCTGTGGGAGAAAGAACAGACTTGAATACACCGAAGACTGGTCTCACAGCGGGGTCCATAAATTCCCATACACTCAAGCTGAAATTCATCTCACCTCACGCAAACACCTAAGTTTATGACTTGTCTGAACCTAAGACAGTCTGGTAGGCTCCTTCTACAGTTGAATATATGGGATAACCATTGCAGGAGGGAAAAGGCTTTCTGGGAGGAGCTGATCTCTGCCCAGTAACAATCATGGGAAGTCTTGACAATTACTTTAACCTCAGAGAAGTGTCTCTTAGATGTCCAAATTAGGTGAGAAGCTTCTCATGCCTGCTGTGCCCCGTGATTACGTGCAGCCATAAAGAAGGAAGTCACGAGGTCTTTAGGTCATCTCAGCTGATCCTATGTACCATACTACAAAATCCTCACATGACCGCAAGGCTTAAGATACAAGCAACATTAATTCAGAGAGGCTAGGGCAGATCTGAGTGGGTTTTACAAGTGGGACATGCCAGGTGTCACCCAAGGGATCCTGCCATGGAGTCCTGGGATGGGGCCAGGCTGAGCAGATGACATCCAATACTGATCCAGCAACAGTTGTCTTGGCAAATGGTGCTGGACCGTTTCTTTGTGTGGCTGGGGATCCAAATTACATAGCGGCCACTGTTCCACTGCAGCAGATGCCTTGTGAAAATCTGGCAAGCCACACATATTCCAAGGACCACAGGTCACCTGGGCTGATACAAACTGCGTATATTCCACATGTATGCATATACATCAGTAAAACTGTTGTTAACCATGTGTGTACATGCAGAGAGAAATCTTCCAAAGATTTTGAAGCTAGATCTGTGATTTTTTTACTTTCTGGAGTTGATGATGCTGGATGTTTGTTATTCTGTTATTGAAGGAGTGTAGGAGGATTCCCACACTGGAGTATTGCCCCAGCAGCAGTGGCAGCAGGAACTGAAGCTGCTCCCAGCAGCGTCAGGCTGCATGTGCACATAGAAGGCTGCTCAGAAAGTGTTGAGCACCACTTTGTAGAGGCTCGGCAGCACTTGTGGCACACGTGCCACTGTTTGGGAACCTCTGCTACAGATCTGGAAGAGACAGTTTCTGAATCAGGATTTTATATTCACAAGGCATTGTCAGAGGTTAGGGAGAGGGGAACAACCAGACCTAATGTACCTACAAATCACTTCAAGTGACACAGCTGAATGGAGCTTTGAGAAGTACTTTGCTATTGCTTGCATCTTTAATGCACCTATCTAGAATGGGAAGAATGCATGGGCCTGCCATGAATGTCTCCTGCATGGGTGAGTTTTTCTCCGCTGACTGCAAAGAGAGCCTAGAAATTTATCTTAGATGAGACATCTATATTTAGGTGTCTCAAATCAAGTGAGATTATTTGTACCTAAATGCCTACATCTCCCTGAGGGGTTTTCAAAGACATGCTGATGCTAAACTTTCATTGAATGCTTTACAAACGCCTCTGGATGCCTAACTCCACTGACAGGCACTCAAATCTGGTCGCCTAGATAATTCTGAAAATGTAGTCTTGTGTGAAGCTGAGGTTCCTACAAGCCAAATCTTCAGAGACCTACAGGCATCCAAAGACACCAATAGTATTTACTAAACCACAGTGCACTCAACAGGTCTTCTGCATCTTCACATGCCTCTAAAAACTTTAGTCTCAGGATCCTGAAAATAGCACAACAGGTTGAAATGCCTGCAAATTCAACATTTTTGGAAGAGAGATACAAGGAAGAGAGACTTTCCACCAATTTTCTGTCTTTATTTTTGCTGCAGACATACACCAGGTTTTTTCTTCCAATGCTTTGAAAGGAACAGAAGGTGTTTGTGTTCCTGAGCACAACATTCAGCCTGAGCCCTCTCTTTGCAAGACATATCAGGTTGGCCTAATAAGCAGGCTAACCACAACCATGATGTTTCAATCTGCTCCAAGTACAACCAGAATAAGTTTATGTCTGCCTGCAAAACACTCTGTAGTTCCTGTAGTGGCCTGATTTGTGGAGGTGTTAATCACTCACAGCTACCACTTAGGTAAAGCTGTAATGTGGCCCAGATCACCCATCTGTGCCTCAGTTTCCTTATCCTGAACACAATGATAACGCACGCTTCAAGGTCTAGGGATGTATAGTATCATATAAATATTGTTACTTATGGTGATGATGAGAACCTGGGCTTTGTTTGGTACAAAGGTCTGGGAGTCCCTACTTGACATCAATTGAAAGAGACGGGTATTAACCTGTATGTTTGAAATACAGCGTGTTGTTATTGCTTTCAGATAAACAGAATTATCTCCTCTTAAAATCAAAGGTAATCTGTTTTACTTCAGTGAGATGTGGTGAAGTCCACAGAGAACAAATCATTTTTGGCAAGTGGAAGAGGGATTTTCTTGGCAAGTTGGAAGAAGCATCAAAGGAAGAGAAGAGGAATGGGATGCAACACAACTGGTTTTAATCACACGTAACAGCCAAGTTCCTCTGGACAAGCCTACTGCCTGATATGCCACTGTAAACGCTCTGGGGAGCCTGGATTAAGAGAATGGAAAAAAGAAGTGAATGGCATAAAGGTACTCGGGGCACTCAGTGGAATAACTGGCAAAGCCTTTGTCAGTTGGCACTATGCACATTGCTCCCATTAATGTAGTGCCCTGGCACCATGCCTTTGATTTTTAATGGGTGTTTGGTTATCCAAGTCCATGTCTTTTTCTGGTTTTGACAGTCACTGCTCCTCAGATCACACTGCACTTCTGTTTGACATTAACAAAGAAGATACTGAATTGGTTGTAACAACGATGGACTTTCATTCCCACTATACAACCACCCAGGAGAGGGGAGACTCTCTTATTTCAAACCAGTTCAGCTCTGAGGTGGTCTGAATTGCTCTAGAGGTGCCAGTTTCTTCTTCCTGCCTGTCAAAGAGCCTAAGGTGGCTGTTCCCTAGACTAGGCACACTGCGAACTGCCAGAGTGGATGGGATGTCTGGAGAAAAAGAGCTAGGGCAAATACTTCTTGCCAGCACTGATCCTCATGAAATTACTGTCTCCTCTGGAATTTGCTGACTTGTTTCACTAAATCTGGGGGCAGGGAACATACTTATTTTATTACTGTATTCTGTAGGAAACTAATGTTTTACTTCAACTATTACAATACTATATAATGTATTATTATATTATCATCTCACATAACATGTCAGTTTAGACCACATTATATAAACAAACAAGAAGGTCAAACTAAAAATATTTGATCATTTTAGTATTTCTGAAACAAAATATTTTAGAATATCCATTCAGCAATATGTTTCAAAATGATGGCGCTCTCTTCCAATGAGGAATGAAAGGACATTTGTAATGTCTGAGTTGCCTTTGCAACATGAACAGCTTGAGCTTTGATGGTTGCTGGAGCTGCACAGTTGGGATTGCTGTTCAGACTGCTGTCATAATTGCTTCCTTACATTATGTTTGGGTTGCATTTGGGGGCTACTGTAGGGCTTGAGGATCTCTTTTGTAAGGAACCTCACATTTATATAATAAAGATAATATGTGGCCTTCGTCCACACAGAACAGAAGCACAGGACCTGATATGGGGAAACCAGATATTACCAAGAGCTTTGGTAGGGACACGGCAGAAGCAGGCTTCACTGCACTTCAGCTAAGCGTTTACTTGAGTAGTAATTGCCTGGGAGAAATATCTGATTGAAAAACTAATTGGGTATTTCACTAATTACCTGTTGGTGATGAACAAGGGCTTGAGCTTGAAGGACCCTGGATGTTCTATGATTAAATTTCTGGTAATATTGAGATTGGTGAGGAGTCTTAAATGAACACCAAACCTTTGGGATTCAAACTCCCACTGCAATCTGATGAGCTAAAGGCTTCTGTAAATGCATCGTTTAAATAACCTGAAAGTTGAGGCAGAGCAACTGTGTTGATTATCCAGTCTTTGAACACCAAAGAGCAACTGATATATAGATGACTTCTAAGCAAGATCTTCTGTTTGAAATTTGTGATTCATTATTATTATTATTATTATTGTTATTAGTAGTAGTAGTAGTAGTAGTAGTAGTAGTGGAAAAGTGTGGACCTTGCCCAAATTCATGAACATTTAAGGGTGGCCTACACTGGTTGATTGGGAGTTGCTGAATTAAAATATACCTTGGAAAAGGAGGAAACCAAAATATTATTCAGTCTGCAGCAATCTCATGCATTTAAGGCCCTGGAGGGCTTGTGTTTCTTTACTCTTGAGGTTCATTATGTCAGCAGAAAATCTTTAATATTTTATTAGGGAAGCAACATAGCCATGAAACATTAATTTCCAGGAATGTGGGAACCATGAAATATGGTTTTTTTCTACTAAATGAAGATTTTACTTGTCTCTGTTCTCACACAGTTAAGGGAACCAATTTTCATTATATGTTTATGTTTATGTATATGTATTCTGGAAATTCAAATAGGAAAGATGTACAAAATATGGGAAAAACATTTTTACCTTGTAAAATGTATTTCACTGATAACAGTACCAGTCATTTATATTCTACCTTTTATCCTAAACCACTTTACATTCTATATCCATCTTGGAACTGAGTCTCTCATTACTGAACTGCACCCATTCTGGTGTGTAAGTGAACAGCTGATATATTCTGCCCTTTGAGATGTGGCAGCTGTTTACATTTGTATAAAATTGTTTACTTCCCTATTTCCATAACGCCAATCTCTCACCATTGTAGTGACCAACACCATTCAGATATGCCTGGCACAGGCATGATAGTACTAGGATCTCCAGCAGTCCCCAAGTATTCTGCACCATGGCAGATGTCTCTGGGTGGAAATAAAAATGATGAAGGACAAATTAATTTGTAATCTACGTAAAGGCCTTTAAAATATTCTCCTGTTACTGCTAACACAGGGTCACAAACTATAGGACCGATGCCTCTTTCCTCTAAAACAAATGACTGGGTTTCCTTCAGGTACCTGCACAAACTCATGTGCACGAAAAGACCACACTAGCTTTTACAGCCTCAGCAGAATGAAAGTGTTGTAGTGGCTTAAAGGGAATTTGAACTACTTAGTTCTGGGGACAGTTCCAGAACGTAAGTGTTCACCTAGGGTTTTCAATAATGTTATATACTCAATTTATGTCCATTACTGGTTGATTAGAATGGAAGAATTAGCCAAAACATTCCAGAAGCATCTGTGTCATGGGAACCATGGGTTTCTAGGTTATACGACACGCCAGAATATTCACCAAATCACCAAGGTTGTTTTCCTTAATGCTACAATTAGTGATGGCACATTAAAAGAACAATTGCTGGATAAGATTTGATGGCAGGAAGCCCTCTGCCATAAATTGGAAAATCTCAACATATGCAACCATATTGCTAGAGGAGTTATGCAATTAAACCAAAACTTGAGATTTGTTATCAAAGGATGGCAAAGTGTACTAAAATCCAGCTGAGATGTTCCCTGATCTCGTTATCTTCAGGCTTCTATGTGAGTTAATCTAACGCAGATGACAGTATTTGACAGAGACAACTGTGCCTACAGTCATGTGGAGGATGTTTTATAGAACCTCTTTCCATCAGAACATGGAGGTTTGTCATAATGCGACTCTTTGAAAAGTCTGATCAGTCTTGCCAGAATTGTATCTCAGGGGAATAAAACATGATAAAAATTCTGACAGAGTCAGAACAGTCCATTCTAATGTTATTGTTCATTTCTAAAATTTTGAACAAGCCATATTTAATTTGATTTTTACTGCATTTAATTATATTTTAAGTGCAAATTACTTTAAAAGTCCAATTCAAAAGAAACATTTGATTTTGTCTGAGCTAAAAATTTTAATCAACCTGGAAAAGCCTGTGGTTGTCTGGTGTTCCTTCATAAAGAATTTCAAAATTCTCCCTTCTTGTCCTCATTCAGAATGAAGCAGGATTTCAAATTCTGAGGTTTTTTGCACAATGAACTTCTGTCCTCCCACAGCACTTTCTGCACCTATATGAGCAGGACAAGAAGTTTAATGTGTAATTTCTGTGAGCCTTAAGGAGATGGTACGTATGTTAGTATTTTCAAATCCAGGCTTATACAGCTGCTGTTTGAATATAAATCATAGATGCTTTTGGGTTACACTAACACCCTCTGCAGTTTAGTACAGTTGTTAATTAATACAATACTGTATTAGTTCTTCTTACAGTCTTACTATTAACACCCCATGAAATCCCATTAGCTCTGCATATGGTGCCAGACTTGTTCTGAATGTGGGAAAGAAAGAAATTTACAGTGGTATGAATAATAAAGAGAAGCTTTCAAGTGGTTTCCACTGTGAACATTTTGAAAAAATATTTTCCAGAATGTAATTTGTGGGGCAATCTTTTCACAAAATTTCAATGCAAACATGCATATATTTGTCATTTAAGTTTTCCCCTGGAGTGCGAAAAGCCCTACGCACCACTATTGTTCTATGACAGAAACTTCAGGAATATAAAGTAGTTCCTAAAAATGGAAAATTAACCAGGTTGTCTTATTGTCCAAACTGGCAGAAATGCAAAAAAATAAATAAACTGCATAGCTGATGCTAACAAATGGATAAAATATTTCCTTACATTTTTGGTTTAAGTATTTTAAAGTACAGATAGTGATGACAGTCAAAATTTGGGTTAGGTTTTCCAGAAGTTATTTGAATTTCCTGCTTCAGTGATCTGACAGATCCTTCTTAAATTCCAAAAAGATTTAAGTGCTGTAGTAAAAACCAGGCTTAGTTCTTAACACCTCATACAGAACACTCCAAAATGTATTAGCCACTACAGAAACTTCAGACCTAATTATTTTCTACTAGTTGAGTTTTGTCCAGTATTGACTCCTTAATGAAAGAGAGATCTGACAAGGCACTGCTAGAAAGACTTTTAAAAATGGAGAGAATGATGAAGCAGGCAGGATTTAGAAGCAGACTATTCCCTGTAGAAGCTGGCTCAGTTGTAATTCTCTCACGATCCTTTAGTAGTTGCTGCCCAAGTGTAGTAGTAGCAGTGCACGGTTAGGAGGATTCTAGTCGATGCTTTTCTGCTCCTCAGTCCTGCTGTTCATCCACAGTCCAGTCTCTGCAGTCTCACTATGCAGTCAGGAATGGCCAGGGCCTTTCTGCATGGCCAGCATCCAGACAGGGACACACTGCTCAGGGAATCCCTCCTGCCTCTCCTCCCGTAGGATGGTGAGTCCGCTCATTTCGATGAGGCTGTGGAGGATGTCCAGGTCTCGGGTCACACTACTATCCAGACAATCCAGGATACAGCCCTCCCTGGCTACATTGTCCTTGAGAATGATAACACCGTTGTCCTTCAAGCCATTCTGGCACCGGATGAGAAACTCCAGGAGATCTTTATCTGTCAGATATCCTACAGATGAAAGGATGGAAAATAGATCGCTATTAACCATTCAAACAGACTCCCCCTGTAAACGTCAGAATGGTGCCTTGATCTGAGTCTCCACACCCTATTTATTGCAGGAAAAGTTATAGTCCTGACAGATTTAATTACGAAATCTTGGGCAAATCAATGAGATCAACAGTTACAAACACAAATCAATTTTTAGGATCCATATTAGTAGTAGCAACAGATGTGGACAGAAGTCAATGGTAATAGTGGAGAAAATACTGGGTGCTGAAGGGTTCTTTAATCTAGTGGTTAAAGTCATAATAAGAATCAGTGGCAGGAAGCTGGAGCCAAACAAATTCATATTGGAAATAAGTGACAACTGTTCAACAGTGTAAGTAATTACCCATTGGAAACTACCAACAGAAATGGTGTTTACCACCTCTTGAAGTCCTCAAATCAAGCGTGGTTGAGTTTTTCAAGATATGTTCTAATTGAACACAAACTACTGGCTCAGTACAAGAGTAAAGGAATTAATGTAACAGCTTGTGATATAAAGTAGGTCAGACTAGATAATCTAACAGTCCCTTCTGTCTTTTAATGCTACAAATCTCTATTAACTTTGTGTAAACAATATTTACCCATCAAAGGAGTTCTGGATCAAAGATCCAGTGAGGAATGCAAGACCTTCCATTACCCCATACTGTTGTGACTTCTGCATATACCATATAAATTTTAAAATACTACTTTTTTTCAATATCTTATTGTGGTTTTTATCCTTCTTTCTCAAATATCAATACTTCTGTTATGTTGAGATCATAGTGCAGGGCTCAGAGGACAGCAAAATGAGAACTCTCACATGTGAAACATCTCAAAAGAGTTAACAAGGACAGGTGGTCAGAAACTGAATGAAAACTTTGAAAAAAAAATTTGTATTTTCTAGTAAAAATATTTAGTTTTCTTGATGGAAGATTTACACTTCTATAAATGCAAGCTGTAATTTCAAAACCATATTTTGACATAGCATGTCAGATTTCTTTAACCAACCCCCCAAAAAAAGAAAAAAAGCCCAAAGCTTAAAGCTGATTACCTAACAAGTTGAAGGAAAATTGTAATTTCTATATGAAATGTAAACTTGCACTTTTATTTTTTCATAAAATAACAGCCTGGACTCATATACTTATACATACAGAAGACAATAAAAGATTGCATTGGCACAATTCATTGAAGCTTTTGAACACCTAACTTGTAACTCAAGGTTCTCTTAACCTAGCTTTTAGCTAAGAAAAATGAGATCTTCACATTGTTGTTCTCTACCAGACAGTCCTGCCCTTGCTCCACCAAAAAGCGTTGAGCTTGTTGGCATATTTCAGCCAAATTCAAGGTAGAGGTAGAAGTTTGATTAATACTTAAGATCATTACAAATTTAATTGAAATTGATGGAGGAAGGAGATTCAGATCCATGTCCATGCTAAATAAAAGGCATATGCTCCCTCTGTTAGCAGCCACATAGCTGATCACCACAGCCTCAGACAAGTCTTAGCTCATTCAGTCTCATGTGGACTCGTATTTGCTCAAAAGATGAGGAAGGAGCTATATTTACTGCAATGACTGGTTATTCAAGAAAAGCCAAAATACAAAGGAAAATGATACTCTGAAGCAATTTGCTTGTACAGCTATAAAGATGTGTTCTAAGAAGCTCAGTTTCATTACTTTTTAAGACTAGGTGTAGAGGATAAATAAGTGTTCCTGAATAAAACCATCTCCTTGCTAATCTTTATCTTTCTTTTTGCCTAGCAAGAAACTATCTCCAGGGTTTTAGTGAGAAGGAGTTGTTCAGGCCTCCTCTTGTGCTTTAGAATAATGACTTCTGCCACCTGAAACTGCACCATGGACATTTAGGTTCACAGATTAGGAGAAAACCTTATTTCTGGAAGGACAGTGAGGAACATAGCCCACATTATCTGATTGCCAATCTGCTGCTCTCAGTGCTGCAGGACATTCACCGGACTGGCTGCAGGAGAAGCAGCAGATATTTCTTATATGAGGGGGCACTGTGGGACATAGCTAAATGAACTTGTTTGATAAGCATCCGTGCATGTGTAAGACATGATCTGGTTTATAGGTATTGGTGATTTCACTATGGCTTTTTGCAGATTATTTCCTGAAATACCCCCAAGTCTGGATAATTGACAGATTCAGAAATCCCTGCTCACAAGTGAGGCCAACCCCATGTATCTGTCTGCAGTACTGGCAACTAAGAAGGAGGATTCCTGCTCAAGAAAACCCATACATAAGGCCTACTCTGCAGCTGCCCCTTAGCATGCAGGCTACTTGCCAAGAACATGTACCTCCCTCTAGTAAGTGACATGAAAAAAAAAACTTGATTTGTATCCACTGTGCTTGTGCCTGGGGAAAACTCTCAGAAGTCTCTTGTGAGATTTCAGGAAGCAGTCCCAAAGATTTGAGAACCTCCTTTTACAGCTGCACCATTCTTTTAACATAAACTTTAGCACAGGCTGTATAGTTCTCTGAGATGCTGGGCTGGATGAATCACACTGAACTAACCTGAAACCCACTGAATCCAGATGACATCATATCTTTGTGGAGCTGGAGTGAATTCCTGGAGGCTTTTGCAATAATACATCTCTACTCTGTCCTCCTTGCCCTGCAGGTAGTTCGGGACCTCAGCCAGGAAATTCTCCATCATATCCACCAGTTCCACGCTCTTGAAAACTGGTAGCAGGACATGCTTGCTGATACGACCTATCCCAGAGCCGCAGTCCAGGGCGCGGTTGGTGCCAGCTTTCCCCACCCCCTGCAGGATACAAGAAAATAATTTGAAATCTGAAAAATACCGCCTGAAAGATGAGAGCAGCTGTGTTGCTAACTATGGCCTTTAGCCCACCAAGCCTAGTGTCTTGTCTCCTTATTTGTGCAGGGCTGTTGCAAGACTGGCGAGAACCTGGGACAGTATCAATACAGCTTTGGGTACCATGTGTGAGGTGAGCTGAGCTGCCATGTTCCCAGGCTGCTGGACATTGCAGCCCTGCATTTACTGCTGTACAGTAAGTTTTTCCTTGGTATAAGAAGAGACGTAATCTTTCACAAGCTCCTAGCTTTCTCGGAAGTTCCACTGGTCTTTGTAAAGTCCTTGCAACTGCATCTGTCAAACAGTAATACCTCACAGCCAACTACATGGCTAGGTAAGCCTCATTCTGAGCCCTGTAAAGGCAAAACAAAAAAGTAAGCATATTTCAAATATTGCATGCAAGAAGTAACTTCTGCAGCCCAGAACTCCCAAGGTGCCCATGGATATCTCTGCAGACACACAGCATCCTTGGGATCAGAGATCAGTTTTCAAAACAAGCTGTGTTTGAACCAAGATCTTGGAGTTGTAGGAACTTATGACAACTCAGAAAGTTTTGACTGGAGCATACACAGAATTTATTTTTTAGGCATAGAGACAAGAAAGATTACTGAGTAGATTTTGCTTAACTGTTCTTTTTTTTTCTTCATAAATGTCATCTCTGGACAGAGATCAGATAGGAAAAAATGTGGCACAAAGGCTATGTCTATGAGAAAATAATGAGTCACTGTAAAAGGAGCTTTATAAAGCTGTATTTCACCCCTAAAGCTTCCATTCTAGCTATAAAAAGGCTCTTAAGAGCCTGCTGCTGTTCTGTAAAACAGAAATTTTAAGTCGGTACATGGACCGACAGTGAGATTGGAGCTCCCCTGGCCAAAGTTATCTGTTAAACAAATACATTAAAAGCAAATGTAAACACCTTTTCCCTGTCCCCTGGAACTGAGTGTTGAAGTGAAATCTATGGGCCAAAGTCCTGGCTGCAACTTCACTGCTCCTAAAGGAAATAAGCCCAGGAAGAGTCTTGCTCTTCCTGCTTATTGGGAGACCCCCTCTGTAACGACCAAGCATAAATCATGTAACTCACCACTTTTTTGGCCTTGCTTCAGTGGGTAATTCAGTAGATTATTAAGGTCAAAGGACAGTACCATCAATGGCATGGCTATGAATAGCCCAGCTGAGCATCTGGTTACATAGAGTAACTGTAGAAAGAGCACAAGGACCTCAAAGGCTCTCATCAGTCTCCAGGGCTGCTGGTCCCAATTTGTATACCTAGGAAGATTAATCTCCTGATGTGTGCAAGAGTCCACAAGCCTTCAACCCTATTGGACTCTGGAGACTACCTGTTTGTAGTTAGCCAGAAAATGTGAGCCATTCTTCATTCACAGGCTGCACTGAGGAGCATGTGGCTTTTACTGAGGACCAGTTACTAAGCTGTAACAAGGAGTTCATAAAAGGAGAAGGAACTGTGTCTTGGATCTTTACAAGGTGGATTCCCATATTGTTTGCTGGCAGATACGTACAGGCCTATATGGATGTGATTAAGTAAAAATCTTTGAGAAAGCTGGTGAGAAAACCAGGATGATTTACCAAAACAACTAACAGAATTTGACAAAAAGCCATATAACTTCTTTGACATTTGTGTTCCAGAGAACCTACAGTCACAGTACCTCACTTGAAACAGGGAATTCATCTCCCATGATGTGTCGTGGCAAGGACCTCTGATGACACATCTCCATTTGCCATCGAGAAGAAGGAAAGGGAACAATCATGGGAGATAAAGCTTGATCCCATGCTTCGCTGAAAGGGAGCAAGAGCATCAGGCAGTCAGTTGAGAAGCCCTGTGAAGCACTACGGCTCCGTTTGTAATGAAAACGTTGACATAATTCCATGTTCAGCTAATATATTTTCAGTTTGGAAGTGCTCAGAGCTTTGACAGGGTATTAACATTTTCTTTGGAAGGCAATAATTTTCCCAAAAGTCTAATTGAGTTGAAAATCAGACTCCTTATTTAAAAAAATAGTGTAAGTGAAAATTTTAAGCCAGGACAGGCTTTAAAATTTAAGATTGACTGCTCCTCTGATTACCTGCTTCCCATTACTCAGAATCACTATCATTCAGGACACAGACACACCCTAAAATTCTTCTGTAAAGATAAATAGTGCACTCACAAAGTTCCTTAGGGATAAAAGAGCTGTGGAATATGTTCCTGATGCTACTTCAGCTCTTGGAAGGGCAGGAAGGCAGTGTAGGTATATAGGATAAAAATGAAATCACAGTTCAAGAAACAGATAAAAATCACAGTGGTTTTATCTCTAAATTAAAAAAAAAAAAATAATCAGGTTTTCAACAACATCTCTTCCACCCCCCTGATCAAACAGGAAAAAAATCACTTTTGAGAAGGTTTTTATTCAGCAAGTAACCAATCAGGCAGGTGAACTGAGGGCAAGAAAGGTAGAAAGGGTTTAGAGCAGAAAGGGAGACAGAAAGTTAATATAATCTCCATCTGTACTATTTCACGTACCTATAGCTCACAACTGTTCCTGAGTTAATGGCTTCTTTGTCTTCTTTATTTCCTTTTTTACACATTACCTCCAGATTAGGCACTTGAAAATAAAGTGTCTATGTGGACATCAAGGCTTTAACTGGCATTAACACACTCCCGTAAATATGCAGTGCTATAGCTCTGCTGATAACCCCTCAAGTATGACTGTACCTAAGACAGCCTATAGCTTGTCTGTACAGCACTGTTGGCTCAAGTAATGTTGCTCTTGGTTTGAGTTCTGCCCACACGCACGTAAAACCTCTTAACTTGAGCACAGTGGCACTTTTAACTCAGTTTGACTCGCCTGGGAAGGAGACAGACTAAAATATAAGTGAAGTCCTTAGTCCCTTCTGTAATTCCTTCCATGTGCCCAGGCAAGATAAATTCTCCAATGGTAAAGAAATCTGTAGCTCAGTTTACAGTGGTGCCTAAGAATCATGCTAAGAAATGCCATACATGAAGGTATGCAACATCAGTCATGTAAGGGAAATGTCACTGTGTGGCATTTCCACACCAGCCAAACTAACTCAAGAGGGGTAATTTGAGTGGAACTGGGCAACTGTTTTTTAAGGAGCACTAGTTTTGCCAGAAAATAAAGTTTTGGAAGAATAAAACACTCTGTGAAATTGATATTTCAAATCTAGAGAACAGTTATAGCCAAAAAACATGGGAAAGAATGTTGAAAATGTCAAGATACTTCTTTTTCACGACTTTCAAGGAAAAAAAAATAACTTGTCAACTCTTCATTTCTAAACAGCATTTTTCACGTTGGAACTCACTTGAACTCTTGAAAACAAAGGGAGAAGTTTTCAGAGGGTAAAACAATAAAAAAAATTAAGTGAAATATGTTCAGTTGATCTGAAACTAATTCTCCTATTTTCTGATTTTGTTAGATTTCTCTTTAAAAAATAAAGTATAGTTTATATTATGGTGAAAGAAATTGCTTTTTTCTATCTTGATCACCTTATTGGAAAAAAAAATTATTCATAGAGCCATAAACTTGAGAAGACATAACTCAAACTAGCTTTACAATAAAGTCACTACTACAGAAAGCCAGTAAATATCTGCATCTGGTTGGGTAGGATTTAAGTTGCAGTAGTAAGAAAGAAAAATAAACCATAAGTAACATAACCAATTGACTGTATCTCAACAGAGAACAGGCTTTAACAAACTAAATCAGAATTAGCAAAATGTGCAGATTCCTTTCTGTTCCTTTTTTTTTTTGTTTGTTTCTTGTCTGATCTTGGCCATTCAGAGTATGCTTTCTATCCCTGGCTAATAATAGGAGTAGGAACTCTGCTCTGGAGTATTTTGTATCTGTCATCACACCTGATGCATTTGGTATGATTTCTCTTTGGCATGTGAAACTCTCCTACAGACTGTACTTCTTTCTTTTTCGGGTCTTGTAGATGAGAAAGCATAATAGTGTGATATAAAACTGCCGTTCAGGAAACTGAATCTACATGGTGTCTAAGAAGCATGAAATCTTTCCCTGAGTACATGCTTATGCACCACTTGAATTTTACAAATCTCCTTAAAATGAGACTTAAGTAAAATTTAAGGAATATTCCTTGAGCTGGCTCTAGGCTTATAAGTTACATTTTTTTCTGAAAATGCCATTTTACCATCAGGCTCAGTTGCCTTGCTGAACTTCCTCTGTATTTTCTTATTTAGTGTTTATAGAAAGCCTGACACAGCGAGGCTTTGAAATGCTGTGAAGCCTTCTTGCATTAATACTAATGACTGTTAATAAAAAAAATGTAGCTGTTCACTTGTGTTTTGCTGGCTCACTGCCCCAAAAGCCTCCCTCTACCAGGTCCAGCAAACTTTGCCATCAGTTGCCCTTCTCTGCTATACAGGATTTCTATCTGTTGTTAAGTCACATTCATTTTCCATCCCAATCCATTTTCACTATGCCTTTTTTTCATACACAACATCTAATTAACTTATTGAGCTTTTTTTCCACAGTAGGTCATTAAGACTAAAAAAAGGTCATCTGGCTATCCCCAATTTTTATATTTGAGCAGAAAATGGAAGATCTATAGTAGCATTATACAGAAATAGTCATTTTGTGAGCAGGAGAACTTAAGAAATTTGTTTTCTTGTAGTTTTGTGGATTCTTTGGCATCTGATACTGTTGTTGAGCTAATTTAGTGGGCTTTCCCCCCCTTTGCCCTGGGAAGAAGGAAGGGCAGTCAGAAAACCATCAGTCCATACTTTTAAAGATTGCAGATTCCCAAAAGACACATTTAGGCGTCAACAGGATTTCCAGAAACCTAAGTGCCAAAGTGATATTGCTATTGTAGGTACTTTTAAAATTTCACTTGGCATCTCTCTGCATCTCAAGTCAAAGCAGAACTTTGAAGATGTTTACAGAACTTTAGAAATCTGCCTGCAAACGTCCCCAGTGACACTGGAATGTTCAAGAAAGAAATATTTTTCCTAATGGGTAGCTTATCCTATATACTCCTAATGTTTGGGGGGGAGGGCGGGGAGGGAGGGAAAGGGCTGGGTTTCATTGCAGCATTCTCAGAAACATCTATAAATAGGCAAAACAGAAACTTGGCATTTAGTCTCTGTTACTTTCCCAAACGGACTGCAGGAATTTGCACAGACAAATCTCCTACTGAAGCCTGCAAGGATTTTATCATGAAAGGTCACAGTCCTGCACTGAGAATTAATCTCCCATCCAAAGACAGCTATAAGAACTTGCAGCTTTAGAGTGTAAGAGAAGGATGCAAAGCAGGTAAATAATGACATAAGGCCAGGGAAAATGTGTATTCATGATGATACATGACCTGGCAGAATACATTAGTAGACCCAATGACAGCCATTTATGACCTGTGACTGCATATCAAATATGACATATGGTGCATTTAAAATATATGTGACTGGGCACACTGCATGTCATTTGTGACACATCACCACTGTTTCTTGCAGAAGATGGGATTAAATGACTCACCCCAACAAAATTCCTGAGAAATTCCCTGGAGGATTCAATGTCTGTATTGGAGAGCTCAATGTAGTCTCCCATCATGCCCTCTTCTGTGGCTGGCACCTCCCGGTAGAAGTGTTTGGCCCTGGCGTAGAACTGCATCTCCCCATTGATAACTTGACTTGTCAAAGCGTAAAGTTTCACTGCAAGCAGACAAATCGCTATTTTATTGTTAATGACAGATATTTCTCATTTAGTTTGTTGCCCTGGAGGCACGATGGTGAAGATCTATGAACTTAACTTGAGCCTGCAAATCACAAAATCTCTGTTTCTAAACCAAAAGTGGAAAGAAAGGTGTTGGATTTAATTCTGCAAGACCTTGAAGGGATACAGCTCCCTTTGGGCAAATTCAGTGTCTCCCAGGCTCAGACATTGTTTTTGTCATCACACTGTGTTTTCATGTCAGTGAAAAATCATTTCAAGTTTGAAGTGAACATGTATGCCTAAGAGAGCAAGGGGTTTGATTTGCTCCCAGAAAAGCTGTGAGCAGCATTTATTACTCTGCAAGGTCATCATTTCCACTATCACAAACCTAACTTTTCTGCAGATTTCCATATATGCTTTCTAGCCATTGACAGCTGCACAGAGTGCACACCGAGAAGAGAGCGGATGAATGAGGCACTTGCCCTGGTTTATTTTTAGTGATACTGTACAGTCTGTGGCATTGTAAGTAAGCTGAACCAAAGAGCAGATGGTAGTCTCAGGCCTAAATGAGTATACAGCAAGGGGAGACAATTCAGAAGAGACAGTCCTAAATTTTCATCTATCACAGATCAAGGAGCGAGATAATCAGTGGGTGATATACTGGAAAGTTCCTGTGTGTCAGAGGCTTGGATGTTTCTTTTCATTGCTTGGCTATTTTGCTGGTAATATACAGCAATCTTAAGTTTGAAGCTGCTTTATTAAAACCCGTGAGCTTTGCTGGGTAAAGGGTTTCCCCTATTCTTTAAAAAAATGAGCTCTGTCCTCTGCATCCTGGGTTTTTCTATACTCGATGTGCATTGGCATATCAAAAGCAGTTGTTCTGCAGCTCAAAAGTTTGGATTGAGGCAGGCCACAAACAGTTTGCTTGGAAACCAGCACGTCTGACTGTCTCATGTGCTCATACGAGCGTTCAGGCATTTTCTTGTGTATATGACAGACCTTCCAACAAAAATACAACTACAAGCCTGTCTGTGAAAGCTAAGCAATAAGGAAGGATGGAGTCACACTGGGAACAAGTCTTTGTGAGCACCACCTTGCAGTGTGAGACCAGCTCTGCTGCGGACTCCCAGTGTGCTCAAGGAACTGGAAATGATCCAGCAGCAAACACCTTTTGGGTTAGTAACGACAGAAAGGGAGAGCTCCCTGCCGGCTGCGTACACAGAAGGACCAGGGAGCAGTGCTTTGTCACTGCATCTTTAAACTTCCACGGGAGCACTGCCGGTTGCTGCTGAGAAGGGTCTGAACAGGCCATGCCTTGCTTATGCTGGCTGGGGAACAGGAATTATGCCCTCCATGCAGAGGATGAGAGCTAGGCCAGAGGCCCTGAATATAAGCCTGGAATGTATTTATTAAGGGCAAGCAAGCTCAGCAGGGAATGATAAGTGTGTGCCTGCCCATCCTCAGCAGGAGAATGACATTTTGGAGGCAAATGAGGGGGGGACAAAGGAAGTAGGATGGAGAATAATTACCACCAAGGACCACTCGGAACAGAATAGTGCTATTGGGTTACACATAAGCAGCATGCCCGGCATATCCTTCATCCAACAAAAGCAGCATTACCAGCCCCTCTTGTCATCACCTGCTTAAGTCAACTGCCGAACGGATACTATTAAAGCTTTAATCCATTACACATTTATGTTATGCCTGCGAAATTTATACCACAAGAAGCACTGAGCCCAGCAAGGGTCAAACCTGGGAGTTTTACACACTACACTGATTATATTCACATACTCAGAAGAAACCATTTAGCTGAAGAAATTAATATGAAGGGGGCAGCAACCAATCCCCAGCACAACTTGGCTAGGGTGGCTCCCAGAGCCTGGGAAAAAGACTCCATCAGTGGCTGTGATTCTGCCAGTAAATGATCTCCATCTTCCCCGGGGAGTGGCACCATCTTGTTTTTTCCGTGTCTCTTTTTTCTCCATTTCGGATGCCAGCCTGTCTGGTGAACAGAACTGAATCTCTGCATGTTGGCTTTGCAAGATGTTCCATATAAAAGTCAGCGATGATTTCTAGGGCTTGTTTAATGGACCTATCAAGGGACAATGATTTATCCCATTTTGCTAGATTGAAGAGAAAGGCATTTACAGACTGTCTGCACACTAGAACAGGGAGTTGCAGGCAGCTGGCAGCATGAACAACAAATATCCAGAGTCATTCTACTCAAAACATGAGCCTGTCCTGAGACAACACATGGGGACGATATGCTGTTCAGGATATCAGATCTGTAGTGTGCGCTCTCGAATTTCTCACTCAGAACCAGTATCAGGCTTGCAGAATGCCTGCTGGGACTTGCATGCATACACCAGCTGACTGCGGCTCCTCCCAGGCCAGCTGGGGCCCCAGAGCCCTGCCTTACGTGCTGGCATCTGAAACCAGCTCTGGGCTTAGCATCAATGCATCAAACTTTGCACAAATCTCCCACCTGAGGACATGCAAGGACACAGGCTAAAGTAAAGGGTGGCACTGTACCTGAAGACTTCTCCTGTGGACCCACAGTGTAACTCATGCGGTGTGAGATCTACAGAGATGATTTGCACTTCTTGCTCCCTCAGTGTTACTCCTCCCTCTCATGAATTTGCCACACTGCCAACTCTCCCAATGCACAACACAATTTTCCAGACACAGCCAATCAACCTCACCTCTGATCTGCCTCCCAGCTGTGCCTGGCATGCAGGCTCCAGCAGCAGGACCAGAGGGAGAGGGAGGTTTGCCAGCTTGCAGGAACTACCCAAAAAGAGAAGTGCGGGGAGACACACGTGTCCTTGGTGGCAGTTAGTGTTGCAGCTCTGCTGCAGCATGCCTTACCCCTCATCACAGGACCTGTCTAGCCAGAGGCATCTCCCTTTCCATAACCCATATGGGACTATCTCGTGCATCCGGAAATGAAATACTTGTGAGGTCTGTTACAGATACACAGCCTGATTTCAATGAACTTTGTAAAATAGGGCATAGGCAGGATAGGATGATGGAGGCTGCAAGTCTCTCAGACATCGCGGGGCGGGGCCAACTGTCTTTCACAAAGTTTTCAGTGTTAAGGCAGGTAACCTGTAAGGTTTAAGGTTAGAAAGTTAGAAAGTAAGTAAGAAGAAACTTTTTTTATGGCACACTTGGTCTCTCAGCTGAATCTGCTGGCAAGACCCCCAAGTAGAGATGGTTAAAACAAACCTACTGCAAAAGCAGGCTGAGAACAGGAATTGGATCCCCAAAGGTTGCTCCACAGACATAAGACATTAATTTTCAGTAGCTGGAAACACAGCCTGGATGCAGTGGTGATCTACAGCTGAATGCCAACCTCTGGACTAGACAGAGAGTACCTACCCAAGGCCTTTGGCCTTGCAAATTTCAAAACATTATCTTTAATATTTTCTGATGGATCAGTTCAAAATTTCGTTTCCCTGTGCATCTGATCTAAATCTCTAGAGAAATGGACCACTTTACATGTAAGGCTGGGTGAAATCCCAAACTGCAGTACACTGTCTTACAGCTCTCGGTTGCAGGGTTTACTCAGCTAAATTTCCCTGGCAGAAGTAAATGTTGCAAGTAATTTTTTGGAAGTTTTTATTTGTGAACATTATTCTGTGGCTCCAACTGCTTTCTGCAAGATATTGAACTAATTCCAGTTTGGCTGAGTATTGCCTTTTAAATGCAACATCTGCTTTGTGCATCAGTTGAAAAGCAGTTATCTGGGTGCAGGATAGAATTCACCTCTCTACTGTGGTCCGAGAACCATTTACATTCTGTTTTATAGAGGATGAACAGCAGCCCACTCCCAAAGCAGATTTTGCTTACAGACACGTGCCTCACACACAGGAATATTTGTCTCTACGGACCCATCATCTAAGTTTTCCACTGCAGATCTCGTCCCACTGGCACTGAGTCCCACAGCCCATGTAAACACATGCATAATTTCTAGCATCTGAGTAGCTCCATTAAAGTCCACTGGGCTTCAGGGCATTCATACACATTTAAGTACATTGTTGGATCAGGGCCTAAAGTTACTCATGTCTTTTATTTATAAATGCTACCCTGGTCTGTAAAAGTGACATGTTTCTCTTAACAGGCTGTGATACCAGATATGCTCAGCTCATAAGTAAACATGCCTAAAAGCACTCCACCACCGAACCTAGCAGTGGAGTGGGGTGAGTGTGGAGTTAGCATAGCTTGAAGCAAGCTTTCTACCTTGCTGGCCCTGGGCTGCACTGCAAGTTTCAGCGTGAGGCTTGATTTCAGTGCTATTATTCATGTTTAGGTTAAGCACATGCTTAACTACCCTGCTCAGTCACAGTCTTAGTGTTGCTTTAGTCCTTTAGTACTGTTTACACAGAGATATCTGGATCTAGTCTTGAGGCTCGAGAAGTTAATTTCACTTCTGCTGAGTTCCACTCTGAACTGAACTGGAAAATGTCATTCTGCAGAGCTGTTCAGACCTGCCACATTCTGGCCTCTCCATCATAGGGAGCACTGGATCACAGGATAATCCAAGTTGGAAGGAACCTAAGAAGGTCTATAGTCCAAATTTTTGCTCAAAGCAGGGACAGACATGAGGTCAGATGAAATTCATCAGGACTTTACTCAGCTAGGTTTTGAAAGCCTCCAGTGATGGAGAATTGTACAACCTCCCTGGGCAGCCTGTTCTAATGCCAGACTGTCCTCATGGGGAAAGAGTTTTTCCTCACAGCCAGTCTGAACTGATTTTGTTTCCATGTATGGCCACTGTCTCTTGTCCTCCTGCCTCACACCTCTGTGCAAAGCTCAGCTCCATCTTCCTCACGATCTTCTGGTAGGTATTGGCAGGCTGATAGTTGGTCTCCCTGAAGCTGTTTCTTCCAGCTGAACATGCCCCATTCCCTTTGTCTCTCTTCACAGGGTATATGCTCCAGTTCCCTCACCACCTCATCCAACTCACTCCATGTCATTTCCTGCACTGGGAGTTCAAGACTCCATGCATACGGTGTAATGACTGCTGCATAAAAGGGGATAGACACTTCCCTCGACCAACTACCTACGCTTTTGTTACCACAGCCCAGAGCATTGTTGGCTACCTTTGCTGCCAGGACACACCGCCGGTTCACGTTCAGTTGCTGTGTACCAAATCCTATCAGCAGGGCTGCTCCCCGGCCGGCCATTGCCCAGACCATGCTGCTGTTGCCAAAGGTTCTTCCTTTCCAGGTACAGGACTTGGCATTTGACTATGAATTTCAGTGAATTTGAATTTCACTAGGTTCCCACTGTCTCTTTTCCCCAGCCTATTTAGATGCCTCTGGGTGGCAATCCTGACCTAGAACTTGCAGACAGGTTCTTGCCAGTTGGCCGCAATCTGCAAATGTGATGAGCAAGCAGTCCTTCACCTCCTCCAGGTTATTGATAAAGATGTTAAACAGAGTAGGTCCCAGGACAGTCCCTTGCAGTATGCCACTGACCTCGAGATTTGACCACGACTTTCTGAGCCCAATTACCCAACCACTTTTTACCCAGACCATTAAATCCTAGCATGCTGTGAAGCTTCTTGGATGTGTATCATAGCACATGACCTACCCCACAGTACCTGTCCTTATGCACACTTTTACTTCATCACAATAATCATGGAGTAACAGACATACTGCATGTTCACATGAAGGCTGGACTCACAGTATCTTTTTCATGGAGTCAAACTAATTTGGATAGGCTGGCAATAAGCTTGTAAGTTCTTTAGTGAAGTTTTAATGATTCAGGTCATGAAAATCCTGGCAGAGGGGATCTTTAGTCTGATAGGAACATTTTACAAAGCTTGTTGGCTGGCAATGGAAATATAAATAAAATTCAGAAAAGAAATAAAATAGTTTTACATGAGTGAAGCAATTAGGCCTGGAAACAGCTTAATGATGGACTGATGGATTCTCAGTCACTTGTAGCCCTTAAACCAAGGTATTTTCTGCCTTCATAAATAGATACTGTGATCCAGTCATAAGTTACAAGCACGATGCAGGAACTTTTACATTAAATTCTAAGCTAGATGTTCACAATGGTACCTTCCAGCCTTAAAATGATCTCTTAGTACTTACACCAACAGTTAACACTGTAGGAAATCCTGCTCAGTTTCTAATATGTTGTGTTTATTTTCAAAACAAATGAAAGAATAACATTTTCATAGACTTCTTGAGATTCCATCCACCTATAATTGACTTTCCTTCCTTTCCATCTTTCCTTCTTTTCCATCATTCACAGCTACCTACCACTAGGGATAGGAGTATTTATCTTCCATGTTTCATTTTAAATAGCTGCAGATATTGCTGCATTTGAAAAGCCATATCAAAATACTGCGATAACATGGAAATGCTTTTTCACTTTACAAGACTCATGAATTCTACCATTTTGAGCAGAATTCTCACTGGGGTCTGTGTATTTACACACAGCTGGGTAAAATAATCCACTTGCCTAAACAGATCATTCAATTAGGAAGGAGCCTGCAAAAATTCACTCTGAAGAGTAGTTTAACAGGTTACATAGACACATCCTTTCCATCTTAAATTCCTACAGTTCTAACACTGAGTGGAAGACGAACAATTCTGCTTCAAAAGTGATGTGATAATGTAAGACAGACTTGAGTCAAATCTACTTTTTAGCTATATTGTTCTGGGGAAATTTTGTTTCTTATTCAGGGTCTAATTTTCAGAAGAAATTAAATTCACTTTCTGTATCTAAAAAAAAACGTCTTGGCATCCTGTACCAGAGGCTTTCACTGAAATATGGCTACAAACAAACATTTTGGAAGCATTTTCCTCACAGATAACAAACAGTAGTTTAGACAGTCTGCTGCAGAGACTCTTGAGAAAAAATTTTAAAAACATTACCTTTCAGGCACTTGTCTAAAACAATACAAATGACAAAGCTAAGGACACACTGAATGACAACAAAACAGGTATCAGGCAACAGAAAGTAAGGCCTGTCAGCTTTGCTAGTTTTGCATTTGTCCTTCCAAGTTCCAAGCAGGTCAATGAATGTTTTACTTAAACAGTGACAAAAAAAAGGAACCATCAGCCAGAAGCCAAACTTCCTTTCACTCTTGTGGTCTTTCCCTTGCCACGCTCTAACAATCTGTGGTGTAATTAGGTAAAACAACAGGATACTGAATTAGAGTGAGCTGAGAGAGTACAGAATGGTTTAGCTAGCACCGTAGTCTCTCTAGCCAGGCTTCTCAAAACTACTACTTATTGTCATTAATGTGTCTGCACTCTTCCACCTAACATGATACGTCTTTCCGGAGGACGGTCACACATGCACACAGATGCTCCTGCCCACCAGCTACTTACCCAGGGGAAGCTTTTCCAGGAGATAAAGGTAACTCTGAAAGAAGTCATTTCGGATCGCCTTGTGCAAGACGAAGGACATACTGTGCCGACAGAGTTCTTCATCTGTCTTGTGCCAGCGTGACTTAAAGGCCAAATGTGCTGCTTTATACGCCATGATGACGACCTTTTTTTGCAAGGGTGGACAGTTGTTGCGGCTGGTGCTCTCTGAAGGACCTGGCCTTCTGAAGAGGCAGAGGCAGTGTCGTTTA